GGTCATATACTCTCCTCTGGGCACAAAATGCCGCAAGCAGCCCAGCACAAAACGACGGATGGACACGCCCTCTGGTTTGCTTGACCAAACCAAACCGCATCCATCGAACGATACACGCGACAAAGCGGCATCACCTGTTGCATGCTCTACTGCAACGTCACACTGGTGGCTTTGGGGGCACAATGCAGGGAATAATGACGCTGTAAATTCACATCTCTCGGGACCTGCTGTACAAAATCCGAAAGCAGGGGCCTTGCCTGCAACAATAGACTACGGCCCCACACCAGGCTTGTGCTCCTATTAACCTCCTTGTATTACTTTCTGCATGTCCTTAGCTTATTTGGTGGACAGCGCCGTTGACTTCCCTATGGGTTTGACGGCGGCTACTCGACAGGCATCCTCGCTGACGAGTGCATCTGGTCCTTCTAGACGTGCGTAATCGCTTTTTCTCCTTCCTCGTTGCTCGTTGGCTTTACGGTAGGTGGAGGTAGTGGATTTTGATCTAGTTTCTTGAGAGGAAGTGGGTAGATTAGCAGCAGCCTTTCGCGGATTGCTTACGCGCGTGGCTCCTCTTTCTCCTGCAAGGCTCTTGTGCTCCAGCCGAGGCACAAGCGCCATAGGGAGTTTTGCTTGCTGGGTAGACAAAGCATTTTCCTCCCTCGGACTTTGCGATTTCCTCGAGCTTCTGCTGGTACTTGCGGGTCAGCTCCAACTCCTCCTGACGAGCGATCTCAGAGGCCCGTGCCTCCCGCTCCTGAATTTCCTTCATGCGCCGAACCTCTTCATCATATATCTGCTGCTGCGTTTTGTGAGCATCCTCAAGAAGCTGCAGCACAAAATAGAACATGTTGGCAGACAAGGAGCTATTTGAGTTGTTCCTTGGGATGCGGATTGAGCGTGCTCGCCCGAGCAAGTTCCAGCAAGAACAATATGTGTGCCTGTGGCCGCGTGAATATGTAGCTCAGCACGTTCTGCAGTGGTCTCAAGGGTAAATGTAGCTACATCTGGTTAAACCCTTCCTTACCCTGTTCCAGTCTTGTATTTGCTTTTGCTGTTCCTCGAGTCCCTGTTGGTATACGGCTTGCTGCTTGACATACTGCTCCTGAAATTCCTTCATCGCCTTCGCGTAGTTGGCACTCTGTTCTTCTTGGTCAGCTCTCAACTTTTCCATCCATTCGGCTTGATCGTCTGAGTGACAAACAAATTTAAAGGCAAACGGAATCAGACCGAAAAAAAAACAATCAAATAGGGGAAGCATTGCAACACACAAACAATCCAAAGAAGCAGACGAGCCGGGAAACGCATACAAGAAGATGGCGCACCTGCATGAGTGTCAAGTATCTTCTTCAGCCAGATAACTGCCAGGCTCTTGAAGTCCTCAACGTTGAGCTTTGCGTCACCGAAGAGTCTTGTCGTGGCGACTCCGAATTCCGCCAGTTCGTGGCGCACATGTTCAGGGTCGAGGGCTCCTGCAAGTTAATCGGTAGCAACACACTTATTGCGGCCAACAGTACATCCGTGCACACTGGAAAGTTTGTGCATATAGGCTGCAAGCTTCTCTGTTCTTTGGACTCACCAGATGCCTTGCTGAATCGAGTGACGTATTCTATTAATCCATACTGCATCAGCAAATGCCTAATAACGGGCTCGAGAGTGGCATAGGGAAGGGCAAGGGTTCCTTCCACATCATGGCAGCTGAAAGCCATTTCAAGCTGCTGCTCTAGGCCGGGATACAGCGTGTAGATTTCACGCTTGATGTTGTGTTTCTCCTGGGTAGTAAGTGATTGACCCATTTTCCTGATCTTCTTAAAAAGTGGATAAGGGAGAGAGCCCTCTCAGCACTGAACCGCAAAGCCACAAAAGCATGGAAACAACACAAACAATGAAATGCATGTCAACGAGCGGCGTAGCTTGCGCTACGCATCAAAACGAAGTGACTGAGTGTCATGTGCAAAGATTATTCCGATGAGACATTTAGCGGGGGCATTCTCCTTCCCTTTTGGTTCCGCTGCAGTCCGGCTCTGTGACCAGTTCGCCACTCTACATTCTGTGCGGCATACCAGCGCTCTTATCTACAACTACAGACTT